ATGATAAACCCGACTCGAGAAAAAATTCGAGTCGGGTCGATCAACCCGGGTCGACTCGACCGGCTCGGAGCACTAGTTTATTCCACCTGTTAAAATGAAAAATATGGGAATTGAAATTTTTCAATACCATTAAATCCCGTGTTATAAGATACACTACAATTTTCTTTTCTTTGTATATCATTGAAATTTTGATATTCAAAGGAGAAATAGGAGAGTAATTAAAAAATTTCGAAAGTTGGGTATTATTATATTTGTATTTATAACCTTTTTGTAATATTTTGAATCCGAGTCTTGACACAAACTTGTTTATATCATTTTAATGGTTATAATTTAAATATATCTACTCATATTTTCTACAGAATTCATGTTTAAAAATTATGTTTTATAGCTAATTCATCGAAATTAAATAAATTCATATATATTTCATCAAAATTTTCGCATAATTAACAAATGTTAGTACAAAAACTTTCCGCAGTAGGCTCATAATAATTTCCTAAACAAACTATAGTTGCAAAGATTTAGAACCTTCGAACATGAAATGGCAAGCAAGCATTTTTTTAAGTAGAAATTATGCTGTTATATTAAAAGCCAAGAAATATCAGTTTATTTTTATATACAATTGTTGTAAATAACTAATTAATTTAATTTACTCATTTTTAAAATATTAAATTTAATTTTTCTATAAAATTTCTGTACAATTTTGTTCTGTGCGATTTCTCTCTGTTAAAAATTTCAGCACGTTCATAATTGTATGAAAACTTGGAACATCCATACAAGACTTCATTAATCACCTGTACGATTTTTTAGGAAATATAAATATTATGGTTTCTAGTACATTCAAAACCATTACTATACCTGGGTCCATAGCGATTGATTATTGCTTTTCTATATTTATATTTTTTTTATAGAATCTATTTTATTTTTTATTTCGGTATGAATAGGGTTTCGATCCTTATTTAAACTATCCGGATTAATTCGTCATCCGAGCTTAATTGTGATCCGATTTGTTTTCCGGATTAATAATAAGTTTGTTAATTTTATAAATTTCATAACTCTCTCAAATTATTGCAAACATGGAAAATGATTCAGGGCTTTTGAAAAAATCGAATTATACAAATAATTTATGATGAGTATGATTCAATGAAAGGTGCACCTACAACAATTGGAGATTCTTCTTCCAATATAAATTAAATCACGCGTTCATATAGGTAACATTTCCAAAATCGTCTTGGTAAAAAAAAGAAAAGTAACAAATGGGCTTTCTGAAGAAAATGAAATATCAAAATATTAGCAATGCCAAAAAATCCATTAGAATGGTGGAAAGAAATGCATAAAATTTGGCTATCCCTTGTAACAAGTGAACGCCTATTTTCAGATGCCAAACACCTCATTTCTCTTCTTAGAAATATTCTTAATCCTACATTATTGGCAAAATGCTTTTTTAAAAACGTAACATTATCGTATGTGACTGGAATAATTTAGAAGACAACCAGTGATGGGTTTTGGACACAGTTTTAGATTTTAAAAGTTTTGGACTAGGTTTTGGACATAGAAAAAGTGTCCAAAACCTGTCCAAAATATGTCCAAAACTGTCCAATTAATTGCCCAACACTGAAGTCAACAAACTAGAAATAGTTAGTAAATTTATATTTATTATGTTAATGATGATTCTTGTTATTTAAAGTTGGATTAAAATCCGGATAAAAAATTTAATCCGGATCGTTAATCCTTACCCGGATTTTAAACCGAAACCAGGTTAATCAACAACTAACTAAGGCCCGTCCTAAGAAAGATTTATACAACTATTTACTTTATACGATCCTTTGTGTAGTTGGTTATTAGTCAGTCTATATGGAGACACGATAAAGTTTGAAAGTGAAACGTGGAAATTTATTAACTCAAGATTTCGAACGTCTCTTCTCAACCGTATTCTTTGAACAAAGCGGATTTTCGAGGTTATATACAAAATTTCTAAATACTAATTTAAAATAAATATCAAACATAATAAAAATAATGAACATATCAAAAATAACAATTATAATAATTTTAATATAATGAAAGAATTAAAAAAAAAAAAAAAAAATCGAAACAGCTCTGATAACAATTTAATTTGACATAATCACCAATAATTTTTACAAATAAAAAAATTTACTATTTATTATTTACAAATAGAATTCACTAAGTGAGCTCCACATAATTGTTTACGAGATAACTAATACATGGAAAGAAATTATCGCAACTTACATTTTCTAATCAATAATAAACTTAAATTTTTAAATCATCTAAGGACATGATGCTGCATCAAGTTATAATAAGAAATAAAGTTAGTTTATAAAGCAAAGAGACTAAACATTAAAGAAGTTTATTGAAATAATGTTTACCTAAGTATTCTACTAGTATATATAGCTTGTGAATTGTTTAGACGTTGTTTTTGTTTATCAGCAGCTAGTTTTGATAAATATTCATCATAAACTTTTACTTGATCTAAAATTTCATCCTTTATTTCCAACTTTTTATGTAAAAACCAGTTTAATGATAATTCATATAATTCTTTAGAGGATTTCCTTTTGGAAGGATTTTGATCCCAACAAATTTCCATCATTTCAAGATAAAATGGAGGTATTTCTTCTCTCTTAATTTTAGGGCGGATGCCATTGCATATATCTATTGACAGGAGATAATCATGTGCAACATCGTTAAACGGTTGTTTTCCAGTAGCAATCAAATACATAATCATTCCTAAACCATATATGTCAGCAGCTTGTGTATATGGCTTTCCTAATAATACTTCAGGTGGTAAGTACTCCTTTATCTTGAAATTCGACTGGATAATATCCAACCTATTGAAATAATGCATAATCTCGATTAAATAGAGTCGTGCATAAATTATGATACGTCATGAATCATGAAATTTACCTCATTTAAAAAACTCTCATTAATATCTTCTGAATCATGCAAACATTTTAGAGCGACAACCTCATCATACCGAATAAATCCATTATCTTCCTCACTGTATTGTCTTAAAATTCCTTTTATCCAAGTTGCTGAATAAATTGTGGCAAATCCACCTTTTCCACCTCTTCGAATTTTTCGTAAGGTATCCACTCAAAGAATTCATATGGACTTCTTGCTTTTTGTTGTTGACTTTTTATGAAATCATCTATTTTTTTATTTCCACTCCAGTCACATATATTGCTTTGTGCATATTTCACTGAGCATTTTTTGCACCAACGGATATTTTCGAATTTATCTACCTCTACATGTGTATAAAGACTACCACAATTTAAACAGAGTTCATCGTTTTCATTATAATATATTTCATTTTCTAATAATTCTGAATTCATGGTTGCAAAGTAAATCCATTTCAATTATTGAAAGCATTTTTTTTTTTTTTTTATAAAAAAAAAAATAAATTAGCCACAAACTCAAAATGTAAATCAAATTTAGATTTTGGAGATGATCTACAATATGAAAAATTATTGTTCTCTGTAATATCGATAGAAATTGTTAATTTTCAACTTGGATTATTTCGCGATAATTTATGTAGAAAAAATATATATACTTTCAGTTATAAAAGGATTTAAGGTTACACTATATTCTAAATAAATCCGTTTAATCTATAAATATTTTATTGAACTATTTCACTATCGCTATCGAAAAAAGGTATCTTTGATATTTTTACTGTCCATTAATTAGGTCAAGTTAAAACAAGTAATGATTAAAACTATGTTATAATAATAAAACTCATAAAAATTTTACCTTATACCCGGTAAAATGCTAAGCTGGTGCTTACCTTTTTTCGTATCAATTTATTTATTCGAATATTCAATTAAAAAAAAATAGTAATAATAAACTAAAAAACTACTTATTTATTATCATCACAAAAAAAAATCTTTTTTTTTGTATTTTAATTCAAATTGCATCTTTAAATTCATATCCTTTATTGCATTTATTAAAAATAAACTTCCGTAAAAAACTATTGTAAAAACATTATTTACCCCGTAATGTTTACCACTCCAAAACTTTCCGACCGATAATTTTCGAGAGCAAGCAAAATTTGATTTTCCCAAAATGTTTGTACATATAATGCTATGTTTTACCTCCTAACTTCGTATGGGAGATATGTTTAATTATTGATAGTAACTAGATTCATAGCCAGGTGCTGGCCTTAATTAATATTTGAAAGTAACATGAATATTTTATTTAATATTTATAAATTTCATTATTAAATTTGCTGGAATATATATTGCATATGTATAGATTATGATGTTATATTAAATTGGAAGTGGTTGTGATGTTTTTTGTTTAGATGAAAATGTTCTTTAATTACAAATTAATTTTATCTAAATTTATTATTTCCTATTTTGAACATTGTTTTCAAACGGAACGGACCGCTTCGTCACCGCGGCGAAGGTAAGCTGACTAATTTTTTGGTAATTAGTTTTGATTTTGATTACTAATTTTATTTATTTTATCTCGGTGATTTTTTTTATTTTTTTTAGGCTAGATAAGTTCATTCCTTGGCTGGAATTATCGGATAAAACAGGATTTTTGTTACCGCAGCATAGGTTTTTGACAAATTAGTTATCATTACTTTAATTATTAGTAATCGTAATCGTTATTTTTTTATTTTATTTTTTTTAGGATTTTTGATCACATTCAAGCTGCTACTTAATGTATGTTTTTCTTTTACTTACTATTTTCAAATTTGTTTTTTAATTTATTTCTTTAATTTCGATATTATTTTTATTCAGTTTTTCGTCAAATAAGTAAGTTCATTTTTTATTTTTTTTTCTTTTTAGTTTTATTTTATTTCTATTTTATTTTCATACATGGTTTTCAACCACGGCGTCAGTCTCGTTTTCATTTATTTTTCAGGTTTTTTTTTTAAAAATTCAATTAGAAGAAGATGTTAAAAACATTCACTTCACTTTTTTTTTCTATTTAATTTTTTTAAAACAGCAGAAAGTAAATAGTAAAAAGGAACTATTTTGAAGCTGAGAGACAAATTTATTACTTTACTTAACATTTTAAATATTTTTATAGAGAAAAGGAATTGTTAATTTTTTTTATTATATTAGAGTATTAAAGAAAAATAAATAAAAAACAGTTAAAAATCATAAAAATTTTATTAATTAAAATAAATTGCTTATGTACAGTATATATAGATAATAGATCCTTCATATTATTACTTTATTTTTAATTTATAAATATATAATTTGTATAAAATTCAGATTTTATTTGAAGTTCAATTTCAGATTTCAGATGGGCTTGTATCTGAAATTCAGATTTTATTTGAAATTCAATTTCAGATGTCTAAATTTCAGACAACCTAGTATCTCAAATTCAGTTTCTATCTGAAATTGAATTTCAGATATCCTAATTTCAGACAGCCTTGTATCTGAAATTCAGATTCTATCTGAAGTTCAATTTCAGATATCTCAATTTCAGACGGTCTTATATTTAAAATTCAGATTTTTATCTGAAATTAAATTTCAGTATCTCAATTTCAGATAGTTTCGTGTCTGAAATTCAGATTCTATCTGAAGTTCAATTTCAGACATCCCAATTTTAGACAGCCTTCATTCCTGAAATTCAGGTTCTGTCTGAAATTTAATTTCAGATAGTCTTGTATCTGAAATTAGAATTTAACTGAAATTAAAATAGTTACACAGAAATTGACCAATATTGGAACTCAAATCTCAATTTCAGATACTCGAAGATCGTCTGAATTCCAATTTCAGACGAAAATCAATTTCAGTCACAACATTGATATCAATATCAATATATCGATATAATAAAAACGACCACCATATTTCCTAACCAAATTTATACCTATTTCTTCCTTTTTAAGAATGGCCATAGCTTCCACTATATAAAGTGGAATCTTCCTGACACCAACTACAGTATATGGCATAAACTGTATATAGTGTTAATAAACAAATATAAAAACGAAAACTAAGTATAATTATTTTAACTCATATAATTGAAATAATTAATATAAAGGACATTTTGACATTTTTAATATTTTCAATATTTTTACGGATTAAAGATCGAAACCCTAGTTTGAGTATTAATTATTTTGTTGTTGTTTTTTGTTTTTTATTATTTTTTAAATTTTCAATTCGCTCCCTGTTAGTTATGGTAATATTCGGTCCACCGACTGATTGACTGACCGCCGGTTGATCGAGTTTACAGTAATAGCAATATAATTTAATAATAGCATGGTTGAAATATAACGTTTTTGGCTTATTAGAATGTTTTTATTTAGCCAAAAATTAGCATGGAATTATTTACCTTCTTAAATAAAATAAATTTTTTTTATGTTCATTAAAAAATATTTTTTTAAAAAATTTAATTTGTATATAATTAAATAAAAATATATTATTAAATGGTTGTTAATTTATGATTTAAATCGCCATTACCCTGGTCACAGTGATCAAATATTTTAATTTCCGACTCTTGATTTATTCTTCTTTTTTTATTTTTCTTATAGTTCCTATTTCGAGTTGGATCACTTCCATAATTTACGTGCAAGCGATCAAAATTCTGGTTTTTTATGGGTTTATTAATTTATTTATTTATTGTTTCTTTCAATTTTTGGGTTAAATTATTTTTGGTTTATCATTATTAATTTTTTTTAAACTCTAATTAATATGGCAAAAGATATAATGAAATGTTGTGGTCTGAATCGCAAATACTAAGTTACAAATATTTGACTCGAATTTTATTTTGATTAATGATATTTATTCTGATTACAATTTCTACATTACATAACGGTAACACGTGATCGTATAAAATTCGTAAAAATTTCGAAAATGAAATAATTTAAATTCCTACGAAAAAATATTGTTTTGCTTGGTTCTTTACGTTTATTTATAAGCCAAGGAAAGGCAAAAGTAGAAGGTCTTTAATATTAGGTAAGTTTGATGTAAAATAAAATAAATCAAGGTTGCCTCTATGCCCGGTGTTAGCCCGAATTTAAACGGAAACCAGGTTAACCAAACAACAATTAAATCTAACTGAGGTCCGTCCTAAGAAAGATTATGCAACTATTTACTTTATACAATTCTTTGTGTAGTTGGTTATTAGTCAGTCGGGGTTTATATACAGAATTTATAAATATTAATTTAAAATAAATAAAATAAATATATCAAACATAACGAATATATCAAAATAACAATTATAAGAAATTTAATAAATATATATAATAAAACAAAATTGATATATACTTTTAATATTTTCACGCAGCTACTGCGCCATTCGTAAATGCTGATCTCTTGCAACACCGGCGATCTACACTTCCATAAACTAATTATAAAAAAGAGGTATAAGGAAAGAAATCTTTTATGGAAAAATAAATTTAAGATGAAAATAAATTAAGAATTACTCACCTGATACTTAAAGTTACCATCTGATCCAAAGTAGAAACTAAAATGAAAAAAAGAAGAGACGCAAGGTTTACATCATTTCTAAGCTAAAAGTTCTCGATCTAACATTTAGGCTTGGATAATATTTTCAGAAACAAAATTTCGAAAATTCTTTTTTCATCATGAGGCCTAAAGTATAAGAAAGCAAAAGTATAAATTATAAGAACATAATAAGTCTAAATCTCATTGATTAACAAGATGTATTTGTGGTCATCGAAAAAAATAAATCTAAGCAAAATGTACAAGCTTTTCAGTATTCTTTTCTGAAAATAAAAAAAATACCTGTAATGCAAAAATGCATATTTTAGATTTACCTTAAAGAATTATTTGTGTTCTGAACAAAATAGCGCCAGTGTAAATACAGAGATAAAACTATTCTTATATAATTTGTTTTAAGGAATGGTAATGAAACACCACAAAAACATCCTTAGTCGAAATCAACTTTATTAAAACAAAACTAACAAATTAACATTTTTTTGTATACTCAAGCTTATGATGAATTAATAGATTTGTCTTTCATAATTTAAAATCGAAAATGTGGTAATGAAATTTGCTGTTTTAGGAGTCAGGCCAAATAGTCAAAGGGAATCAAGTATTTTGGCATGGCATGCATCTTTTTTAATTAATGGAGGTATGTAATTTTTATACTGCTTATTTATTATAAAATGGTATTGAAATATATTAATTTTGATTATTTATAGTAGCGTTAAAATTGCAGAGAATTAAAGAATAAATAGCAAGATCAGCGACAATAAATACAGTTAGCAAGCTTAATGTAATGATGGCTCAGCGCATTATACGATTGACAAATTACCAAACAACCTGCAACGTAATAGTAAAATATTGCGTAATGAAGTGTGACTTTAGATCAAGAAATGGAAATGTGATTATAATGGTTGAATTACAAAAATTGT